ATCTAGTTTCGCAATCGAGGCGCAGACGCCGAGAACAGAAGGGGCGGGAACGGTGAGGACGCACTGCTTGGGGCCAGCACTAGCGACGCGCAGCGCGCGCCTTGCCGCGGGCCATTCGATATCCCGCCAGCGGGCAGGACGGGCGAGGGCACTGGCGCCTCGGGCCATTCGGGCGCATTCGACCATGACCACCTTCGCGCATTCGAATCGAAGAGGAGGAGACAGGCGCTGGAACGGGGCAGCGTCAAGCGTCATAGACGCTGAGCGCTTGAATTTGGCCGCCCCAAAGATCGCCCTTCGGAATCAGGCGCTGGCCGACGGGGGCCCCGGGCCAAAGGCGGAGGACCGCCGCCGCCGCGCGGTCGGAGATCGGCCCAGCAGCAAAGAGCTCAGGCCGGTCGACCACCCCCCAACTGGCGGCGAATCGCGAGGACCCAGCCAGGCAGCGAGGAAAGACGACGATCAATAACCTGGAAATTCTTCGCCCGAGCGTTGGAATGGGAGGGGGTCGACAGCTCGAACTCAGCAGCATTGCTGAAGGCAGGGCGCAATTACAGAGGCAAGGGGCGAAATTCAAGATCATCGGCCGCAAGGGAGAGACAGGGTCGGGGCGAAGGGGGGTCGCCTCAAGCGCGTGGACATTGAAATGCCCCGAGATGAACGCCATCTTGTTCGCGGGGTTAGGAGGGGTCCACTGATGCGGGTCGGCGACCCCTGTCGCTCTTCTCGAGTCAAGTCGAAGTTGCGCAAGTTGCAGCGAGGAACCCAGCGCAACCCATTCTCTGCCTCGAAACTCGCGAGGAGAGCACGCCCAGGCGTCAGAAGGGAGGAAGATGACCGGCCGCCCGCGCCCGAATGTCTCGAGCCCCCCCCCCCCCGAGGCCGAAAAACGCGGGGGAATGGTAATTACCCCGCCCTCGGGCGGAACCAGAGCAACGCCGCGCTGCGCCCCTGCGGATGAGGGGTGCGACGGGGAAGAGGCTTCACACGGGAGGTCGAGATGCCGGAAGATATCAGTCACGCCACATTCTGAGCCGTGCGTTTCTCGAGCCGCAACAACAGAGCCACGCTCGAGGAGACGCCTCAGAAAGCGGACCATCTCCGCGCTGACGTGCTCGGAGCGGCGAACGAAGGCCCCGGCGTTCCAGGTCGCAATCCTAAACGAAGAGGAGGAGGGGGGCAGAAGATTCGATGCGCGATGCCACAAGGCGCTGCAATTGCTAGGAACTCCGCACTGCTGGGCTGGGGCCTGCCCGAGCTCGCCGAACCAGTGGCGCGAGCTCAGCCTGCGCAAGGCCCTCTGCCACCGGGTTGGCGGCCGCCCACTGCGCATCAGGAATCTCCTCGGCCTGAATTGGAATGGTCTTGACCAGCGGGCGCCAGGTGATTGGGCCCTCACCGTTGTACTTATCCACCTAGAAGCCACGGTTCGGATGGGCGCCTACCAGCACCCGGCGCGCCGCCTTACATGTTGTCCCCCGCTTGAGAATACTCGCATGCTTGTCGGGGCCAATGAAGATCTCGCGCCGCTCGCTCGCGGCCGCGACGGCCGTGAACAAACGGCAAAGGGGGCCTGCACCTCCGTTGGCACAAGGAAGACAAAGATTTCCTAGAGCTCGCGAGACCTTTCTATAGGCCAGAGCGCGGGGGCCAATGACACGGATCGTGCACTTCTAACTCGTAGGTTCGCCTTCCGTCAGCCAGTCGTCCTCGGCAGACCTTGAAGCTTCAACCCGCGGGCGTGCTGCATCTACCGCCGCTGTCGCTGCAACCAACATTTGAGCACGCATAATAATGTCTGCGTCGATATCACGGCCGAAAGAACTCCCAGGAAAGCGCTGCTTGATCGGCTGGGTTTCTTGACGATGCCGAGCTCGTTGCGAAGGTCGCGGATCTCCTTCTCGGCATTGGACAGCCCCGTCTCCTGAGCCCGCTGCTGGCGCTCGACGAGGTTGACCCTGGTCTCAACATGCTGGTGGAGCTAGCTTCTCGTGCGTGGTGTTGAGCGTGGATCTGAGTTCGGCCATCGAAACGGTGCACGCTAGCCATGGGAGGTCTGCACGTTGTCGGCAACCGAGCTGATACCGTCCAGGGCAATCTTGAAGTTTCCATCCACATGCACTTTGAAAGAATTAAAATCAAAGCGAAGGCCAGACGGATCACCCTTTGACGCGCTTGTCCTGCCCAGTATTCGGCCGCGGAGTGTTCGGCAGGGGTTCGAAGACTTCCCAACTGTCGCCAAAACCAAGACGCTCACGATCTGGGCCAGCTCGCTCGTGGTCGGGAAAGGTCGGAGCGGCCTCGAGCACTTCGAGACGGCTCTCCTGTGATGCTGATAATGCTCCGCGGGCAGGCGTCGGTACCTGCGCAACTCCATTTCCTGGCCTCTCCTCGCTGGGAATCAGTGGCACCCACCTGTTCAAGGAGACAAAGCTAACTTCTGCGGGGCGCGCGGGAACCGAATTGGACAGGCGCTGCTGCCTATCCGATCTTGAGCCAACATGGCTACGGAGTTCCTCCTCCTCCTCCTCCTCTTCCTCCTCCTTCTCGTCCAAGTCTTTTTAATTCACTTCTCCGCATCGCACCCCCAACGCGTGCCGATGCGGCGGCCTGGGCGTTTCGCCTGAGACCTCCTCCACATGACGTTTGCGAGCTGCAGCAATCACAAGGAACGGGAGGCTAGATCTTTTCAGCACGGGGTTCTCGCACCTCAGCTCCGCGCACATCTGTTCCCAAAACATGTAGCAGCTACAACGATGGAGGGAAATTCGTTTCCAGAATGAGGTTCTCGCCATAATGCCGCGCACACTCGTCTTCAAAGTTTCCAACACTTACTGGGATGAAAGGTGTTCTGTTGTTAAAGCGTGGCTCTCGTTTGAGATTTCCCCGCGCAGAATGGCCAGAAAAGGGCTCTCGCTGAAGTCGTCCTCCACACTAGCAACCAGACCGGTACATTTGCGCAAGGGCTACACGAATGGGGCGCGGTTCCTTCTGGAAACTGTGCTCACGCCGGACACCTGACTGGAATTTCAGATCCTACATATGCGCATTCCTTATCACCCAATAGGAAATAGGATGCCGGAGAAAAACAGTTCGTAGTCTGTTTACGGTTATAGGCCTATGGAACTATAGAGCTGTAGGGCTGTAGGGTTATTGTCTATAGGACTATAGGGCTATAGGGCTCTAAGGCTATAGGGCTAGAAGGTATAGGGATGTAAGGCTACAAGGCTATAAGGCTATAAGGCTATGAGGCTATGGGGCTATATGTCTATAGTGTAATAGGGCTATTGGGGGCCATAGGGCTATGGCGCTACAGGGCTATGTGGCTATAGGGTTATAGGGCTATAGAAATATAGGGTTATAGGAGTGCAGTGCTACAGGGCTATGGGGCTACAGGGCAATGGGGCTATAGGGCTATAGGGTCATTGGGCTTTAGGGCTATGGGGCTATAGGGCTGTAGGGCTGTAGGGCTGTAGGGTTATAGGGCTGTAGGGCTATAGGGCTGTAGGGCTATAGGGCTATAGGGCTATAGGGCTATAGGGCTATAGGGCTATGGGGCTATGGGGTTATAGGGCTATAGTGCCATAGGGATATTGGGCCATAGGGCTATTGGGCTATAGGGCTATTGGGCTATAGGCCTATAGGGCTATATAGGGCTATGGGGCTATCGGGCTATAGGACTATAGGGCTATAGGATTATAGGGTTATAGGGCTATAGGGCTCTGGGGCTATGGGACAATAGGGCTATAGGGCTATGGGGCTGTAGGGCTATGGGGCTATGGGGCTATTGGGCTGTAGGGCTATAGAACTATGGGGCTATGGGGCTATTGGGCTATCGGGCTATCGGGCTATAGGGCTATATGGCTACCGGGCACCTGGGCACCCGGACGTGCCGCCGAAATCGGCGCCGTACCTCACCTGACCATATGGCTCGGCCAGGACCCCTGCAGAGGCAAGCTCTGATCGGGGAACCATGCGGCTCCTTTCTCAAAACGGTGCCATCGCCTCAGTGGCAGGCCCAAAGGGTGGTCGTCCTTCAAGGGGGCGTCATCGAGGGCCCCGGATCGCCGAAGTATCGGTCCAAGGCGCCAAAGTAGCCTCCAGACGGCTCAAAAGGTTCCCAAAACGCCCCAAGAGGCCTCCAAGAGGACTTCCAAGAGGGCCCCAAAGGGCACAAACCATTGATTTCCTTAAAGGTGGTTGAACGATTTCGGTGTTCAACTCCACGACGTTCGAAGACAGGCCAAGAGGCCCACAAGACCGCCCCAACATGGCCCAAGAGGTTTCAAAGAGGGCACCGAAACGACCCAAGAGGGCCCCAAGACCGCCCAAGAGGCATCCAAGACAGCCGAAGAGGCCCCAAAGACGGCTCCAAGAGGGAGCCCATACGGGGGACCCGATCTGTCATTTCGAGCTCTCGGGCTGAGAAGCTCCCCCCAGAAAACCCCTAAGAGGCCCCCACGAGGCTCCCAAGCGGCCCCCAAGAGCCTCCCAAGAGCCCCCCAAACAACCCCCAAGAGGCCCCCGAGAGCACTCGTCGTCGTCGTCGTCGTCGTCGTCGTCGTCGTCGTCGTCGTCGCCATTCAAGGTCTTCGCAATACAATGCAGCTCCTTTTTTCAAAACGGGGCTATCACCTGAGTGGCATCGTCCTTCAAGGGGGCGCCCTTTAAGTGAAAATCAAGGCTTCGAGGGAATTGTGAAGAGGGGGCTCGGGACGAGAGGGTGCGTTGTAGCATCGTTGATACATCCTGGGTGTACTCCCTCCCCTATTTGTTACATCCCTCTCCTCCTCCTCCTCCTCCTTCTGCTCCTCCCCCCCATTTGCACTCCCCCCCCTTTCTCCTCCTCCTCCTCCTCCTGCTCCTTATCCTCCTCCCCCCCTCTTCTTTTTGTTATTCCGCCTCCTCCTGCTCATCGTCCTTCTCCTCTTCCACCCTTCCCCTCCCAACCTGCCCAACCGCCCCCTCCTCGCACTCTCGGCACATTCTGGGCGCATGACGGATCCACGGTGGCGTCGAAGCATTTGACAAGGCTCGGGTGGTCTGTCAAGATCCCCAGCGCCTGGCAGCACATGGTTTCCTTCTCCTCGTTCTCCTTCTCTTGCTTCTCCTGCTCCTCCTCGTCCTCCGTCTCTAGTGACCCCCAAAACTATACAACCAGAAATTTCGGAGGTCCGCGCGAACTTCTTGTCGGCGCAAGAACCCAGCCCCGTCCCCCGTCCCCACTCACAATCACACTGACCGATACACACATGTGTAGCTATACGTGTATACATCCATCCACCCATCCGTCCGTCCGTCCATCCATCCATCCGTGCATGCATGCATGCATGCATACATGCATACATGCATACATACATATACATATCGACGTACACAGATCCACACATACACACATACGCACATACGCACATACACATACATACATGCATACATGCATACATACATACATTCATACATACATACATACATGCATACACACATACATGTATACATACATACATACATACATACATACATACATACACATACACATACACATACACATACACATACACATACACATACACATACGCATACACATACATACACACATACATACATGCATGCATACATACATACATACATACATACACACACATACATACATACATACATACATACATACCTACCTACCTACCTACCTACCTACCTACCTACATACATACATACATACATACATACATACATCACACATATACATACATACATACATACATACATACATACATACATACATACATACATACATACATACATACATACATACATACACACACATACACACATACATACACACACATACATACATACATACATACAAACATGCATACATGTATACATAAATACATACATACATACATACATACATACAAACATGCATACATACATGCATGCATACATACATACATACATACATACATGCATACAAACATGCATGCATGCATGTATGCATATATGCATGTATGCATGTATGCATGTATGCATGCATGTATGCATGCATGCATAATACACACATACACACATTTGTACATACGTATGCATGTGTTGTATATAAATGTAGATCAGTATAGCTTCACGGCCCTGCGCGCGGCGACAGGGCATAGAAAGGTCACAGAAGCGGGCGCGCACTCGCGAAGCACACACAGACACACACAGACACAGACACACAGACACACAGACACACACACACAGACACACAGACACACACACACACACACGGACACACACACACACAGACACAGACACAGACACAGACACAGACACACACACACACACACATACACACAGGCACACACAGGCACACAGGCACACAGACACACACACACACACTTTTTGGTCTGCGGGTCGAGAGCGGGCCTCTTCCGGTTAAGAGCTACAACACACACACACACACACACCCTGGCGGCGGCCGGGAAAGCGGTGTGGCGAAGGAGGCCTGGTGCCGACCCATAGAATCCGCGGGGACCTCCGGAAATTGACGCTTGTGGCTTTGCTCGTTCTTTCTCCTTCTCCTCCTCGCGTTCGTCCTTTTTCGAGCCTCCCTACAGGGTCCTCGGGCCCCGCCTCGGGATCTTGACCAAGACACGACTGAACTTCAAGGCGGCTCCGTGTCCAAGGCCCCTCGCTCCCGAACGGCCCCAAGAGCCCCCAACACAGGCCCAAGACCCCCGACAAGCCTCCGACTGGCTCCCCAAGAGGGCTCCAGAGGGGCTCCAAGAGGGAAGAGAGAGCACGCGCGCTGCCTTACTGAACCTGATCGCCGATGACAACCGGCAGAACACTTAAGGAGGGTCCCTGTGTCGACTCGAGTCGTCCTCCGAATGCTCCAAGAAGTCCACCGAGGGGCCCGAGTGAAATTCAAGACGGCCATGCAACACGCCCACATCGCGAGCTGCCCGATCGCAGAATCACAAGGCAGCCCGCCGCAAGAGCTCCACCGACCCGCAGCCCAGGCTGCGACCATGACGAGGAGCACACCCCCGCAGACGCCGAGAGAGAACACCATCGCTTCGAGCCGCGTGGGCCTCCTCGTCTTCGTCTTCGGCCTTGTCCTCTTGGGCGGCCCACGTATCCCGACACCGCAGCTTCCCGGACCCCTCCCGGGGTCCGTCCTGACCAGATCCCCTCTCTCCTCCCCCCTCCTCCTCCCCCTCCTCCTCCTCCTCCCTCCTCCTCCTCTCCTCCTCCTCCTCCTCCCTCTCCTCCTCCTCCTCCTCCTCCTCCTCCTCCTCCTCCTCCTCCTCCTCCTCCTCCTCCTCCTCCTTCCTCCTCCCTCCTTCTCCTCCTCCGAGGCAAATCCGGCCGCGGCGACGAGGGCCGCCCCACAATTGTTGCGTCCCCAAGGCGACAAACCTTCGTAAATTACTCGATGTTCGCGTCCCCGAGGCAACAAGCCTTCGTAAAACACAATGCTCGCGTCCCTGAAGCCATGAACCTTCGCACATTACACCGCGTTCGCATTGCCGAGACCGAGAGTGCTCCCAGGCGCCCGAAGATGGTTCCAACACGGCCCAAGAGAGCCCGACGAGGCCCCAAGAGCGCTCCAAGAGGCTTCCCGAGAGAGCCCCAAGAAGCCAACATCGTAGATTTTGTGGAAGTGTTTGAAGGATTTTGGCCTTCTCGTGTTTTCGGTTTTCCGACGCTCCAAGACGGATCAAGAAGCTCCAAGACTGCCCCAAGACAGCCCAAGACGCCTCCAAAAGGGCCCCAAGACGGCCCAACAGGGCTTCAAGATGGCCCAAGAAGCGCACAAGACGGCCCAAGAGGACCCCAAGACGGCCCCAAGAGGGGCCCAGGCAGGGGACCACGAAGTGAACATTCGATATTTGTGCCCCGAGAAACCCCCAGGCCCCGAGAGGCCGCCAAGAGGCCCCAAGAGGCCCCAAGAGGCGCCCTAGACGTGCTCAAGAGGCGTCCAGGAGGCCCAAAAGATACCACCCCACGAGGCCCCAAAGAGACGTCCAAGCCGCCTCCAAGAGGCCTCCGAGAGGCTCCCCACGACACCCCAACACATATACAAGAGGCCTCAGACCCACAACCCAGGCACGGTGGCGGGATAGGCCACTAGGGTCCCCCGCCCCCTGTCGATTCATCGCAGGGGTGCCTGGCGTGCTAGATGATTCCCAACCATCCTGTGGTGTTGGGTCCTCGTTTTGAAGAGACGGTGCCCCGCGTCCCTCCTTCCTCCCTTCCTTCCTTCCTTCCTTCCTTTCTTCCTTCCTTCCTTCCTTCCTTCCTTCCCTCCTCCCCCTCCTCCCTCCTCCCCCTCCTTGCCTCTGCTCTCGGCACACCTCTCACACGTTTCGTAGCCCCATAGGGAGCTCCACCGAAGGTCCCAGTGAGGGGGGGCGCATGCGGTTCCCACACCCAGGGCAGCGCTTCGTGGCCCAATAGGGAGCTCCACCGAAGGTCCCAGTGAGGGGGGGCGCATGCGATTCCCACACCCAGGGCAGCGTTTCGTGGCCCCATATGGAGCTCCACCGAAGGTCCCAGTGAGGGGGGGCGCATGCGGTTCCCACACCCAGGGCAGCGCTTCGTGGCCCATAGGGAGCTCCACCGAAGGTGTCCCAGTGCATGCGGCAGGGCAGCGTTTCGTGGCATAGGGAGCTCCACCGAAGCCCCGGTTCCCACACCCAGGGCAGCGTTTCGTGGCCCCATAGGGAGCTCCACCGAAGGCCCCAGTGGGGGTGGGCGCATGCGGTTCCCCCCCCAGGGCAGCGCTTCTTGGCCCCATAGGGAGCTCCACCGAAGGCCCCAGTGAGGGGGGGCGCATGCGGTTCCCACACCCAGGGCAGCGTTTCGTGGCCCCATAGGGAGCTCCACCGAAGGCCCCAGTGGGGGTGGGCGCATGCGGTTCCCCACCCAGGGCAGCGCTTCGTGGCCCCATAGGGAGCTCCACCGAAGGCCCCAGTGGGGGTGGGCGCCGATCCAGCAGCCTCAATCGGGGTGTTCGCATGCGTCTCCCCCACCCAGGCAGCGTTTCGTGGCCCCATAGGGGAGCTCCACCGAAGGCGCCAGAGGCGCAGTTCGCATGCGCCTCCCCCACCCATGACAGCGCTTCGTGGCCCCATAAGGAGCTCCAGCGAAGGTCCCAATGGCGCAGTTCGCATGCGTCTCCCTCGCCCAGGGCAGCGTTTCGTGGCCCCATAGGGGGCTACACCGAAGGCCCCAGTGGCGGTGTCCACATGCGTCCGCGCCACCAATTTCGGCGCACCCCTCACAAATTTCGTGGCCCCATAGGAGCTCCACCGAAACCGGTACCCACAATGCCGCACTCGCAACTGCACATGGTTGGGTCCTTCGTCAGGCTAATTTCGGTTTTGGTTCAGGTTCTTTTTCCTAAAGAACTCCCCCTGGGGCTCCGGCGCGTCCCGCTGGCCACCCGGAAGACCCGGTTGCAAACGGTTTTTCCTGCCCCTGACGGCCCCAAGATGGCCTAATATGGCTTCCAAGACGGCTAAAATGGCCCCAATATGCCTCCAAGACGGCCCAAGATGCACCCAATACGGCCTAAGATAGCCTCAAGATGGCCTAAGACGGCCCAAGAGGCCCCCAAGAGGCCTGCCAGACGCTCCAAGAGCTCCTCCAGGAGGGCCCGAAGAGGCCAAAATCATTGATTCCCCTTACGTTTTTGAAGGATTTTGGCATTTGCGTCTTTTCGGGATTCCGACGGTTGAAAGACGGCACAAGAGGTCCCCAAGATCGCCCCCACAGCGCCCAAGAGGCCTCCAAGATGGCCTCAGGACTGCCCAAAAGCCCCCCAAGACGGCCCGAAGAGGGCCCCAAGACGGCCCAAGAGGCCTCCAAGACGCCCAAGATGGCCTCGAAGACGGCCCTGGAGCACCCCAAGAGGGCCCCAAGTCGGCCCAGAAAAGCCATCCAAACGGCTTCCGACGGCGTCAGACGGGCCAGGAGCCCACCAAGATGGCCGAAGTTGGCTCGAAGCTGGCCCAAGACGGCCCAAGAGGCCTCCAAGAGAGCCTCCAGGAAGGCCAGAAAAGGCCCAAAACACTGATCTTC